ATCATCATCATCATCATCATCATCATCGTCATCGTCATCGTCCTCCTCCTCCACAAACTCCCCATCTTCCTCCTCACCACCGCCATCACTCTCATCATCAAGGCCACGGTCGCTGTCGTTGTCGTTGTTTCCAGCATGCAGCATCAGGAACGTGTCATCCTCGGTGTCATCACTGCTGCTGCTGCTTGTCATGCTGCTGCTGCTGCTTCTGGTGGTGTTGGTACTGGTGTTGACACCGTTGATGGTGTTGATCACGTTGATGGCATCCGCATCCAAGAGGATGGGTCGTGGGTCCGCCTCCATCATCGCTATCAGTGTAGCAACAGTTGCGCGCGCGTCTGCGAGGGTCAGTGGTGGCTCACCTCTGCCAACGCCACCAGCATCACCACGAGCAGCACGATCATCATTATCATCGTCGTCGTCGTCGCCGTCTTGCATTTGATGATGCTGTATGCTGTGGTCGTCTGGAATGCCCAAATGTTGATGCTCACGGTCGACTCCAAACAGCTCAAGCATGACTGCAAGTTGATGTAGTGAACGGCGTTCCTGTAACCGCTGCTGCCGCTGTCGCTGTCGTTCCTCCTCATCAACATCACCACCGCCATCACCATCGCCATCAGGGTTGCTTCTGACATCACCGTCGCCTCCGTTCGCTGCTGCCATGAATGGGATCGGGCGGGGCGATGACCTTGCGGTGGCCATGTTGAAGTTGATGTTGGACACACGTCCACTCGCTCGGTTCCGAGCCGCGGCCCTCGCTGCCCTCAGCACAGCCGCTGTCGGCGCCGTTGCCACCATTGTTGTCATCGCAAACGCCTCTGCGTCGCCCTCCGAGTAGCGGCTCCACCGGTGGCCCGCGTGTGGTCGTCGCCGGCCTCGTCTTCGGACATGGTGCTGGTCTGCACTTCTGCCGGGTGATCTCGCTGCCCGCTGCCGCCGATCGCCGTTGGTGGTGTCACCGCCACCACTACGATGACGTTGACGACGGCCGTGGTTTTCGTCGTCATCGTGGACAACATCGTCGTCGTCGTGATTGTGATCATCTTGATTGTGGTTTTGGTTGTGGACGTGCTCCTCTCCGCCACCACCATCATCGTCATCATCTCTGGGATGGCCACCACTACCGTGACCTGAATCATCATCATCATCATCATCATCATCATCATCATCATCATCATCATCATCATCATCATCATCATCATCATCATCATCATCATCGCCACCCTCTGCCTGTGCGGCGTCGCCCTCATCATCGGAGATCATGGCCAAGACACTTTGCGTGAGGCGTTGGTCCGATTCCCCCTGCGTAAGCCCCGCATTCAATTGCGGTCGCTCCCGCCCCCCTCTCCCCTCGTTTCCGTCGCCGCGATCACCTCGTCGGTGGCCTCCACCGACAGCAGCATCAGAATCATCGTCGTCATAATCATCGTCATCGTCGTCGTCGTCATCGTCGATGTAATCACCGTACTGACCATATCCCTCACCATAGAAGTCGTCGGCAAAGTCATCATCATCATCATAGTAATGATCATGACCGTCACCATCATCATGATCGTGGTCAGCATTGTGGCCGTCGTCACCATGATCGCTGCCATCGTTGGCGCCACGAGCACCAAGATGGGTGGGTTGAGGTGCATGGGATCGCGGCACGCGTCTCCTCAGCTCCAACATCGGCGCTAACCCGCTCATCATTTGGCTCCCCTGCATGATGTGGTGCGAATCGGCCTCCGCCATTTCAAGCAGACTGTTCCTGTTGGCGTTGCTGCTGCTGCTGTTGCTGGTGCCGTTGGTGGTGGTCGTGGTGGTGGTCGCGTTCTCGTTGCTGCTGTTGTTGTTGCTGCTGCTGCTGTTGTTGTTGTTGTTGTTGTTGTTGGTGGTGGTGGTGGTGGTGGTGGTGGTGGTGGCGATGCCTGCAATCGAGGGAGCAACAACGTGGTTGCTCTCGTTGCCCGCGTTGCTCGCTGTGGTGCCCGTGGTGCCCGTGGTGGTGTGATTGTCATTGGTTGCAGTGTCTGTGCCAACAACAGCGGCGGCGGTGGCAGTGGTGGCGGTGCCTGGTCCTCCGGTGTTGGTGGGGCTGCTGGCAAGGCTGCTGAGGCCACTCGTGGGCAGGCGAAAACAGTAGCCAGAACAGACGTGGACGGGAAATGTGTTGTCGTCATCACCGTCATCACCATCATCATCACCATGTTGGTTGTTGTTGTTGTCGTCGTCGTCGTCGTCGTGGAAGGTGTTGTTGCTGTTGTTGTTGCTGCAGTTGTTACGAAAGAAGAAGTTGCTGTTGCTGTTGTTGTTGTTGTTGTTGTTGTTGTTGTTGTTGTTGTTGTTGTTGTTGTTGTTGTTGTTGTTGTTGTTGTTGTTGTTGTTGTTGTTGTTGTTGTCGTCGTCGTCATCACCATCACCACCATCATCGTCGCCATCATCTCCATCACGCCCTCCCTGCATTGATGTTGATGCGTCGCTGCCAGAGCGCCAACGGGTTCTCGCCGTTCGACGATCGTGCAGGAATCCACCATTGCCAAATCCAACGCCCAGTGGCGGCAGCGGCAGCACGCCGTCATCACCAGCACCAGCACCATCGCTGTCATCACCAACAGCAGCGGTGTCAGTCGCAGCAGCTGCTGGTGGTTGTGGATGTGTGGGACGAGCATGACTCGTTGTTGTTGCCATGGTCGTGGCGGCACCGATGGTGTTGATGGCAAAAGGAGCAACAACGGCCCAAGGTGCAGTGGCACCAGACTCGCTTGGGCTGGGGTGGCGATGGCTGACACCGCTGTGTTGTGGAGGAAGACGTTGTGGTGGCAGCGGTTGTGCTGGTGGTGGCGCCATGATGGCGCTGGTTGTGTTCTGCAAAGGGTCACACGGGCCAGGCGGCAGTGCTGGGATGTGTGGTGGTGGGGTGGGCTGTGTGTACATAACTGTGTACACCATGCTCGGTGGCTGTTGCAGCGGGGCACGCACCTCAACCCCGCTATCACGTGCAACCAAGCGAGGTGCACCAGCACCAGCACCGACACCAATACTGCTGCTGCTGATGCTCCTGCTGCTGCCACCGCTTCCACGACCGTACCCATGTGGGCCATGATGCGGTACACGGCGCCTTCCGTATTGGCTCGTGTCGCACTCGCTGGCGAGGTTGTTGGTCAGATGGTGCTGTGGCACCTGCAGCTGGGTGTGCTTGGGCACCTTCATGACGATGCAGGCGTGGGGCAGGATTGTTGGATGCAGTACCAGTCTCAGGAGGTCTTCGCGTGGCAGAGAATGCAGTTGGCGCTGCAGCAACGACGACAACGGCTCATCGTGTTGTTGTTGTTGTTGTTGTTGTTGTTGTTGTTGTTGTTGTTGTTGTTGTTGTTGTTGTTGTTGTTGTTGTTGTTGTTGTTGTTGTTGTTGTTGTTGTTGTTGTTGTTGTTGTTGTTGTTGTTGTTGTCGT